TTGAATAAAACTACCAAACGCATTTTCAAAAATGATTCCAAAATGAAAATAAAAACGTTTTTGTTTTCATTTTCATACAAAAAATAAAAACGTTTTGGAACCAATTCCAAACACACCTCTAATGTCTTTGAACCTTTTGATTCTAATAAGGTTGATTTTGATGTGTCTACTTTTCTTTAGTATATTTCTCATGATAATAATTTTGATATTAAAGTACGTTACTAATGAGGAGAATTCTATGATAAAGTATGAAAAATAAAATTTTAATGGTAGGGTTCTTTTTCAAAACATCAGAAAGTCATTTTTTCATATATATATATATATATATATATTATTTGGGTTTTTCTTTACAATTACACTATGTATTTTGCCGTAATAAAGAGACACTCTCTTGACCTAAAAAAATTACACCAACAATCCCTGTACTTAACGTTGTTAAATTTAGATATTAAATTACCAAAATGCCCCATCTAATATCATCCCTTGATATGAGACCTCTAAATCTCAATCATTCATTCATGATCCGTTTAGTTTGCTGATTTGAGTTTTTAATTCGAGTTGAGATGTGACTTTATGTGAAAAAATTTTTATTGTAATAAAAAAGTTAGATATGACTGTTTCTGATATGAGAGTTTTTTACTGTAATAAAACTCAAATCGGTGAAATAAATAGTGCCTTAAACTATTCATAAGGAAAAGAAAGAAAAAGAGGATCATACCACCCCATCGGTCTTGTTTATGACCAGACCTATCCACGCAAATAACAGAGCATTGTCACCCAAGCTTGCCCTTGCAGCTCTGCCACCATTGTTTAGTTCATAGTCGCACCCTGCTATTTTTGGAGCTCGTCACGAACTAGGTTGTCATCATAGCTCCACTGCAGTCCAAACCCACCACTATCCTCACGAATTCACGTTTGTCGCGAGTCTGACATCATAGAATTTTCTGTTTAAAAAACATTGAAAAGTGTTTTATTTATACAACTTGTTTTTTAATTTTTAATTATTTTCAAAAAAATTTGAGTTTATAACTTTACGTTAAATATCTAGCAATATATATAGCTGGAAACATTTTTTTGTAATGCATGAAGAGCTCTTTTTGGAATTAAAGAAAACAAAAAAAAAAGAGAAATAGTCAAACATCAACAGTTATGGTCATGTAACAGAGTGGGCGTCTCTCTATGATTTTTCTCAAAAATCAGGAGTTGACATTATTTGTTTAGTCGAGTGATTGTCTATAATTATAAAAAGTCATTATTATAATGTTCTTTTAAACGTTTAAAAATATGCACTCCTAATAGTGATACCCTGCGAAATCTCCTACTATTTTAGTCATTAGATTTATTTTCTAATCATCTGATCTTTGAGCGTTTATGTTAGAAGTTTGTAGCATGCACAAGTGTTTCCTAACGATAGAGAACAATGACAATTTTTACTGTAAAAACTTCCCAATAAATATTCTTCCTTGACATAAAGAGATGTATGTAAATAGTTTATACCACGTCTTCTTAAATTTAAAAATGTA